GGGGGAAAAAAGAGGACCCCCTTAAAAAAAAAAAAAAAAAAAAAAAAAAAACAACAACAAAAAAAAAAAAATCAATAAATTAGCCACAAAAGGAAAAGAAATGCTGTTAAGTGAGTTAACTTTAAAACTATTAGGTTTTTTCCTTTAACTTCCTCAGGAACACTTGCCCAGACCCTTCAGTACACAGTAAGCAGTCAAGAATCCTGCACTCCACATGTATTGTAGGAACTGTCCTTACCAGGCAGCCAACCTGAGCTGTATCTTTAGCAATCCACAAAGTGGGCTACCCTATTGCAGACTGATGTGTTCTGTTAATTCCACACCCAAATCTGTGGCTGAGCAGTTCAGAAAAAGAAGAGGAACCACTCTCGAATTTTCAATGAATACACATGACCCTACAGGGCTGTCTGGGTGAACGAATATGTGTTTGGGAATATACATTCTCTGAATACTTGGGTATATTGGCTGTGGCTTGGGGAGGCTTTGGGGACAGGCACTAGCCTGATACTTCAGTAGACGCAACACCAACCTATCAATTTCAAATTCTCAATGCCTCTCCCAATAATCTCAAGGGAAGAATTTTAACTCACAGCTGCCTAGGATCACGTGATACAGCAGGTCCAAGGGGAAGAGGAAGAAAGTGTTCCAAAATGACAGAGAAGCCTAATCATCCAAATCAAGATTCCACTGCCGTGACCCCTGCCTAACTCTGACTTTCTTTCCTACTTGCTCCTCCCTACCTTTAGTCTAGCCACACCTGCCCTCGCCACACCTGCCTCAAAGTCCTTGCACTTGCCCCCAGCACACACTATTTCCCGTTTCTCACATGCTCCTTCCCTTACTCCATTCCAGCACCTGCTCACTCAAACATCATCTCCTCAGAGGCCCTCCTGACCAGCTTACCTGAAATAGCAGTCAGCCCCTCCCCTTCACTCTCTATGCACTCACCCTGCTTTATTTTTCTTCAGAGCACTTGCTATCACTTCATATTATTTATGTGTATGTATATATATGTGTGTGCATGCATGCCAACATACACGCATCAGGCAGCAATCTGTTCACTGTTCCATTCCCAGCACATAGCAGGTGCTTAAATGAATACTTGCCATACCCTGAATGAATGAATCCATCACATGCTTGGGTTGAGGTAAAGAGCAGAAAAATCAAGATGAATAAGTCATGTCTCATACCTCAAATGAGCCTACAACCTAGCAGGGAAGATAAGTGCAAGAAAAGTAACCATCACAACTTCGAATACCTCCCCACCCCCTACAGACAAGCAAACTGCTGGTCACAAGAGACAGAAATAATTTCAAACTCAAATAATTCAAATTTCAAATAATTTCAAATGTATTGCCATTTGTTGGTTAGGTAATTATTTAACCTTACTCAAGTCTGTCCCTAACCCACGACCTGGAAATACCAAATTATTTCACAGGACTGTTACAAATTTAAGCTATTACCTATAAGGCACTTTTCACACTGCCTAGCACACTATGGACTTAAATGGTACTTACTGACACCAATGATCCCATGTCCAATGCCTAACCAACAGCTAAATGGACATTAATAAATACACCTCTTCAATTTTTTTCCTTCCTCCACCCCCCCCCTTTTTTTTTTGGTCTTTTTGAGACAGGGTCTCCCTGTAGCCCCAGCTGTCCTGGAACTCACTATGTAGACCAGGCTGGCCTGGAACTCATGCTGGGATTGAAGGCATGCGCCACCATGCCCAGCTCCATCCCCTCTTTTTTGCAACAGGATTTACTCTATAGCTCAGCTGGCCTTGAACTCATGAAGTTTCCTTGCCTGGGATTACAGGCATGACTCATATCTAAGTTTTGGCTTCAAACTCAGTCTCCCTCCCTTTCCATCTTTTTCTATTGAGACAGGCTAGCCTCTAACTGTCAGCAAGCCTCCTGCCTCAACCTCTGGAGTCCTAGGATTACAAGTGTGCACCATCTTCAACATTAATTTTGATTTCCCTGTTAAAAATATTATGCCGCCGGGCATGGTGGTGCACGCTTTTAATCCCAGCACTCGGGAGGCAGAGACAGGTGGATCTCTGTGAGTTCGAGGCCAGCCTGGTCTCCATAGCGAATCCAGGCCAGCTAGGGCTACAGGGAGACCCTGTCTCAAAAAGAACCCCCCCAAAAAATTTTTTTAAAAAAGAATTATGCCAGTTCTATGCTTACCACATGGCTTAACTCTCAAATACAAAATAGATATTAAAATTAGATTTAGGCTCAAGGAGAAAACTTTGGCTTTGAATCAAAATTTGCTTTTTAAAAAATTTTATTTAGCTGGGCATGGTAGTGTACGCCTTTTATCCCAGCACCTGGGAGGCAAAGGCAGGCAGATCTCTGTGAGTTCAAGGCCAGCCTGGTCTACATAGTGAGTTCCAGGACAGCTTAGGGTGTACATGTGTGTATTTGTATAATGTGTGGAACATACATATAAACCCAGGCAAATATATGTACACTGTGTATGCCACGACATCATACATGGGGACATTAGAGGGCAACTTTGTGGAGTTGATTCTCTCCTTCACTCTTTATGTGGGTTCTGGGGATCAAACTCAGGTTGTCATTCCTGCGTGGCAGCACTTTACCCACTTAGCCATCTTGCTCACCCCTTGAACCAGAATTTTCTGATCTAACCTGAATGACAGCTCCTTCCCAAAAGGAAACTGGAACACAAAGTGCTATACTTTCTCATCAGCAATCATGTTACTGTGCTTTTACTATCTGGATTTAACAGACCACATATTCCTTCTACCTCCAAACACCCACTCCTAACCCTTCCCATTAGAAACTTTCATCCTCAAATTCTACAATATACACTTAAGCAAAGTGGTAGCTTGTGCTTTAAAGTTTGGAACATAATTGTAATTCAGTAGTAACTGACTCTACCTATTAACAGAGTACAGGCAAGCTCACAAAAACACAATCATAAACAACATGGATGGTGATCACTTTTTTTTCCAAGTAACATTGCTTCTGTTCTGTTTATAAGACTGGGCTGATACTCAAGTACAAGAAACAGCCTGTATTTGACTCTTTGGCTACAATCTTACTCAGATTCTACTGGCGAGGAGGATGTTTTAAGACAAGGAAGGACATTCTAAGTCCATCAACTCTACATGCTAAGCACTTGTGGCAAAGTCTCTGCGTGTATCAGATTTATTCAAGAGTAGCTCCACAAAGAATGAAAATGAAAGCTTCACGTTTGAAATTTTTTAAAAAATTATTTGCTACAAAAGACAAAATAAATTGAAATGTTTTCGGTGAATTCTCTTTATTAAAACAGAAGTCATCCCACCCCTTAAATACCAGTCATTTTATCTGATTCCCGAATTAATTACAGGAAGCATAGTGTATTAAGTCACTCAAACACACGCACTCTCCACTTCCCTTAATTGAAAGTTGCTGATTTCCGAGGACCCAGTGGCTGGGCAGAATGTAAACCCTCAAACAGTAAGCAACCCCGGATACAAACCAGCCAAAGAGGAAAGTGCCGGTGGGTGGAGGGACGGCGATGGCAGGAAAATCTCGGCTGACTACTGCGCCCAGGCAAGATGACACACACTCCCCCCCGCCACGGGCAGTCAAGTCGGCTGACCAACCCATCCCCGCGAAGGCACGACGCCTAAGAAACGAGCCTCAGCCAGGGGCGGGGACCTAGGGCGCCCGAGCCTGACTGACGCGGGGAGGACCGCCCGGCGCAGCGGAGCGGAGGCCCGAGACGGCCACAAGTGTGGCCTCAGCTGTGGCCCGGGCCTGCCCCGCGTCCCCGAAGCCCCCCAGGCCTGCCCCCAGGTCCAGCCCGCGCCCCGCTGGTCCCCGGCTCACTGGCTTGGCTGATGCGCTGGATGTTGCCGCTGCACGTCTGGATGATGCTGTTGAAGTCCCGCAGCGGGGGCCCCGAGGGCCCGGGGTTCCGATACATGTCTAAGGGACCGAAGGACATGACAGCGAGCTGAGACCCGGCCGCACCACGACCGGAAGCAGCCACCAGCCGAGCCCCGCAGCTGAGAGGAAAACTGGGAAGAAAAAGGGCGGGGAAGGGGCCGGAGCTGCGTACGCACTGGCCCCACCCACACGGAGCGCGCATGCGTGCACCCCGCCCCGCCCCACATGAGTGCGCGTGCGTCCGCTCGCTCCACGCGGAAGGCGCATGCGCCACTGGAATCGGTAGTGGGTGGAACTGAGTTCTAACTGCTGGCAGAGAGAGTTGGAAGCGCGCCGGGAAGAACCTGGAACAGCGCATCCTACAGCAGCGCAGCCGGACGCCCGCTCCAGCCGGGATGCTGGCCCTCGCCCTGCTGCCCCGCTGCAAACCCTTACTGTTCCAACCCATGTCAAAACCGGGATGAATGTATGAGCGCAGTATTGGATCAGTATACGTGGGATTGTACCGGGACAGGATTCTATCGCGAGCACTGTACTACACCTGAATTTAGGACAAGAATTAAATTACTGGTGAAGCCCTCCCCAAACTCGATGTACTACATTCTTACCCACTTCAAGGGATTCTGCAACATTGTCAATAACATTCCCTTCCTGCGAAGATTCAGAAATGCGTGTTGCTAACCAGATCATTATGACTACAAAAACTGGGAAGCCTTCTCTAATCTCCTACTACACCAGAGCTCTTCTAGAGCAGATGACTGCCCAACTCCTAGGGGTGTGAAAGGAAAGAAGGAACTTCCCGATTCAGAAAAGTTTCTGGAAAAAGTTCTAAGTAGAAAGTTCATCCCGGTGTTTACATTCTTTGCCCAGCACTTCACCCATCAATATTTCAAGACAGACAAGAAATAATGGTCTGCATTCCCCAGGGGATTGGGTCATGGAATGGACTTAAGTCATATCTACGGTGAAACTCTAGATAGACAGCATAAACTACGCTTTTCCTTTTTCTTTTCTTTTCTTTTTCTTTTTTTTTTTTTTTTTTTTTTTTTTTTTAGTCTCCCTGTAGCCCCCCAGCTGTCCTGGAACTCACTATGTAGACCAGGCTGGCCTTGAACTCACAGAGATCCGCCTGCCTCTGCTTCCCAGAGGAATGCGTGTGCCACCACGCCCTAAACTGCGCCTTTTCAATGATGGAAAATTGAAATAGGTATCCTCCTACAATCAAAGACACTCAGGTGAAGATGACCTACCCACTTCACACCCCTGTGGGGCAGGAGATCTTTGGTTTGGTGCCTGGTCTGATGATATACACCACAATCTGGCCGCAGGAACATAACCGATGAGCACCCAGTGTGGGATGATGAACGGTTATTCCAGACAAGCAGGCTCATACTGATGGGAGAGACTATTAAGATTGTGGTTGAGGACTAGGTGCAGCATTTAAGTAGCTATCATTTCAATATGAAGTTTGACCCAGCGCTGCTTTTCAACCAGCAGTTTCAGTACCAGAACCACATTGTTGCCGAGTTTAACACACTCTCTCACTGGTATCCCCTGCTGCCTGACACTTTTCACATTAAAGACCAGAAGTACAACTTTAATCAGTTTCTCTACAACTCCTTTATACTCGTAGAGCATGGACTGACCCAGTTCGTGGAGTCATTCGCCCGGCAATCTGCTGGCAGGGTTGCTGGAGGTAGGAATGTACCACGTGAAATATAGAGTGGCAAAGGCCTCTTTTGAGCAGAGCAGACAGATGAAATACCATCCTCTTAATGAATACCGCAAACGCTTTTCCCTGAAGCCCTATGCATCATTTGAAGAACTTAACAGGAGATAAGGAAATGGCTGCGGAGTTGGAGGCTCTCTACGGTGACATCAATACTGTGGAGTTGTATCCTCCTCTTCTGGTGAAAAAGCCTCGTCCAGATGCTGTCTTTGGGGAGACCATAGTAGAAGTCAGAGCACCATTCTCCTTGAAAGGACTTGTCTAATCCTATCTGCTCTCCTCACTACTGGAAGCCAAGCACTTTTGGAGAAGTAGGTTTTAAAATCAGACCTCAGTTCAGACCCTGATCTGCAATAACGTCAAGGGTCCCAAATATTGGAGAATTAAGTACCCTTGAGATTCAGATCTGTAGCCAATCCGTAATTTTATGAGCTTCAAACAACTTTTATCTCTCCCTCTATTCCTCTTCTAAGCAATAAAATAATAATCATATTTGTTGAGTACATACTGAGTTGTGACTCCTCACTTCAAATCACTGGTTCATAAGCATTTTTACATCAAGGAAGGATGCTCTATCTCTGTTTTAATCTTTTGTTCTTAATTTTTTGAGACAGCATCTTCTTTGTAGCTAGCCTGGAACTCCTTATGTAGAACAGACTGGCCTCTGCCTCCTGAGTGGTGGGGTTAAAGGCGTGTGCCACCATCTCCAAGAGATTTTTTTTTTATTTACATTTGACACTCTTTAAAATGAAATTCAGGGGCTGGAGAGATGGCTCAGCACTTAAGAACACTGACTGCTCTTGCACAGGACCTGGGTTTGATTCCCAGCACCCACATGGTGGCTACAACCATCCTTAACTCCAGTTCCAGGGGAATTCGAAACCCTCTTCTGGCCTTCTGAGGCAATTCATGACATGGGTGCACTCACATACATGCAGGCAATACATTCATACACATAAAATAAAAATAAAATATTTTTTAAAAAATGAAATTCAGTGAAAGTACTTTTCTCCCAGGAATTGAAGATATAGTTGTTTTATTTACTCCATGTAAAGTTAAAAGTGTTTTTCCAGGATTGAAGAGATGGCAGCTAACAACCATCCATAACTCCAGTTCCAGGGGAATCCCATACCCTTTCCTGACCTCCACAGGCACTGGAGGACATGGGTGAACTCACATACATGCAGCAATACACTAATACACACAAAATATTTTTTAAAAGAAGTGTCAGAATAATGTGAGAAAGGACAGAACCAGAGGTGTATAGAGTACTACCAAGATCCTGACCAGATCCTAAAAGAAGAGGTAAAGAATCCCGATAAAACAATCATCTCAAAGGGCTGGAGAGATGGCTCAGCAATTAAAAACACTGGTTGTTCTTGCAGAAGACCCAGGTTCAGATCCCAACACCCACATGGCAGCTAACAACTGTCTATCTCCAGTCCCAGGGGATCCAACAGCCTCTTCTGGCCTCTGTGGGCATTGCATGACAGGGGTGCACTTACCTACATGTAGACAATACCCGCATACCTATAAAATAAAGATAATAAATAAAATTTTAAAAAAGACTTGATGAAGCATACCTGTAATCTCAGCATGTGGAGGTGGAGGAGGCAGGTGGACCAGAAGCTCTCAAGTCATCATCTTTGGCTACATGGCAAATTCAAGGCCAGTCTGAGCTACATGAGAGCCTATCTAAGCTGGGCGTGGTGGCGCATGCCTTTAATCCCAGCACTTGGGAGGCAGAGGCAGGCAGATCTTTGTGAGTTCAAGGCCAGCCTGGTCTACATGGTGAGTTCCAGGACAACTGGGGCTACTGGGAGACCCTGCCTGAAAAAGACAAAAAAAAAAAAAATAGATCCTATCTGTGGTGGCGCATGCCTTTAATCCCAGCACTCGGGAGGCAGAGGCAGGTGGATCTCTGTGAGTTCAAAGCCAGCCTGGTCTACATTGTGAGTTCCAGGACAGCTGGGGCTACAGGGAGACCCTGTCTCAAAAAGACCAAAAAATAAAAAATAAAGTTGGGCTTAGTGGTACATGCCTTTAGTCCCAGGACTCAGGAGACAGAGGCAGGCAGATCTCTGTGATTTCAAGGCCAGCCAGGGAGACCTTGTCTCAAACAAACAAACAAACAAACAAATAAACAAACAAAAAAAGGCCATAGAGGGGAGAGAGAGACAACCTAGTGGTAGAGCACTTACCAAGCAAAAAATACAAGTAAATAAATACAAATACCATTTTCTGCTGGGCAGGGTGGTGCACACCTTTAATTCTAGCACTTAGGAGGCAGAGGCAGGTGGATCTCTGTGAGTTCAAGGCCACCCTGGTCTACAAAGTGAGTTCTAGGACAGCTGGGGCTACAGGGAAAACTAGTCTCAAAAAGACAAACAAACAAACAAAAAACATGTCCTGGGCTAGAGAGATGGCTCAGCAGTTAAGAATATTGTCTGCTCTTCAGAAGACTGGAGTTTGAATCCCAGCACCCACTTGGCAGCTAACAACCATCTATAGGTGCAGTTCAGGGACTCTCACACTCTCTTCTGACCTCTGCAAGCATTGCATGACATGGATGCACTTACCTACATGCAGGCAATACACTCATACACATAAAAATAAATAAATAAAATTTTAAAAAATAGGCATATACCCAAAGGACTCTTCCTATTACAGAGACACTTTTACAACTGTTTGTTGCTATTTTCACAAAAGCTAAGAGATGGAAGCAACTTAAGTGCCCCTCAACCAACAAGTGGTTAACAAAAATGTGGTACATTTACACAATGGAGTTCTACTCAGCAGTAAAGAAAGATGAAATAATGAAATTTGCAGGTAAATGGATGGATCTAGAAACTGTTATACTAAGTGAAGTAACACAGACTCAGAAAAACAAGACATATGTTCTCCCTCTTTTGTGGATCCTAGCACCAAATCCTTATAAGCAAGTGCATATCCTAATGTAACTTCAGGAACCAGGAATATGGTAGGGAGCCAGGGAGGTAAAGGGAAAGGAGGAACCCAAGAGAGAAGAATAGTAGGAGAAAGGTGTTACTAAGGGAGAAATATGTAAAATGGGGGTAGTTAAAGGGGAAAGGGAGAAGGAGGGCTATACAAAGAACTATGGGAATAAAGGGGAAAAAATTCTCCCCGTACACAGTTCAAAAAAAAAATCCTAAAGCACAGAAGGAACCCTATGGGATGGAAGAAAGTCTACCAGAAGCCATATGGTTGTTAAATGAAAATCCCAGTGCCAGAGGTAGGTTGGCCCCCTATGAACTGTTGGCCAGAGGGGCCCTAGAGGTACCCAAAACAATAAAGGCCATTGCCAATAATGTTCTTTGTCCACCAGAAGTGGATGGTAAAACCCTGTTGCTGAAGACATTACATGATGTGAGCTTGGGCGAGGGTGAAATCAAGCTTGGACTAAGCTGGAA